TCTTAATAACGCCATAACTTTTAAGCTTACATATTAGCCTTTCATGAAGAACTATTTTCAAAAGCTTTTCGAGAGGTTATAAATACTAGCCAGTATACATATTAATAATTATTTTATTCTTTTAATTTCTTTGTTTCCTCTGGTAAACTATAAATAATGGATATAACACTAATATGCAACAGAACCTCAGCCACCCCAAGAAATATACGAACACATACATATAAAGGATGCACTCTTATCGTTAATATTATCCTACGATGTGTATTATCTAGACTCTTTGTGAGTTAGTTCAATAGACTTTCGAAGATCTGCCATTTACTTAATATTAATAAATGACCAAAGATATCAAGAAAGAACGGAAGCAAGCTTAAACGTGTATTTGTTTCACCTCATAAATTTCATATTATGGAAAAGTAATGTCTGCCATAAAGGTTTTGCATGGATGACTTACAGTTTACTACTGAAAACCATTGGTTCAATAGCATCAAGCGTGTAAGCAGCAACCGTATATCATGAAATTAAAGTCCTGGAATATCGTATCAACTGTATGTATACTTCATAATACAAAATAATTATATGAAATTCAAATCATCTCTTTTGTCATTAAGTTTAGTTCACATTCGACTTTCATTATCAGTTTATAAAAATCTACAGCAAACTTTAGCAGAACAATGGTGAATGGAAATGACATTCGATGAATTATTCTAAATCACTCAGCGTTTATTGTATAAAGTGTAAACATTAAGGATTCCTGCAATTTTGAACCGGAAATAAATATCATGCTATTTGTCTATACTATCAAATGGACCATACGTATTCTTTGTTTGTCATATATCTGAAAACTGATAAATAGAAACTACGTCCGATGAGCTGTTATTTTGTCAATATGCTCAACGTTCTATTGTATAAAGTATTTACATCAACTGAAAGTCTCTTGCCATCATACTTAGGGAAGACATATCCTGCTATTTGCCATTATATAAAGGAAGTTCTATGCATGATAATACCTAAAGACATATTTATCGTGTTTTATGGTTTCCTCTTGTTTCTCTGGTGAATGCAGTGTCAATCATGATCACAAACATCTAACAATATTACCACTAATGATTATCAACGAAAACAAAAACAGCATGTTATTATACATAAACAAGATGAAAATGTTGTGCAGACGATCTTGCCATTATTGTTTGCATGGAATATCTTATATGTTAGAAAATAGACTTAAGTTTAAATTATAGGCTGCACGAAATGTTTTATAAAAAAGAGCATCTCAGATTAATCTGGAATTATTACAATATGTAAGGAACGTGAATTAAACAAAAATATGATAAAAACTTCTTTCGGAAGAAGTTGTTTCAGAGTAGGGTTTTTTTTTCTTCTTTTTATTGCACACATCTCTAAATGTCTTAGTTCCTGTTCCAATTGCAACATCTAATAAAATGCCTGGCATTATATTGTAATAACTTAACTAACTATGTTTAAAACCGGGGAAAATGTTAAAGCTGCGACAATGTCAACAGAAAAAAAGATTTTGCAAGTTGGAGAAACAGACCTTATACGTCTTCATATATTCCACAAAGATTAAAACATTTTATTTGGAAAACCGTTTAATTCAACACTTCATTACACAAACCAGACGACAAAGTATTTCAACTTCCAAATTAAATTTGATATGCCATAGTGTAAACTGTTACATAACGGATATGCAGGTATCAGAATAATCAATAATCAAACTATATTTTATGGTTCGCGGTTGCGATCTCTTTCAATCAAGACTACACACAGTAGTAGATATTTGCTGATTTCATGCAGATCACAGTATTTAGAATTAATGGGTGTGTTGGTGTAGTACATACTTTAAATGGTATAATTCTATAAAAGTAACATATAACTTAGTTTAAAGAAATTAGAAACAGTTGTTTTATATATACTATCATGTTTTTAATTAATAATGTTTGTAAAATAAATGACAAAATCTTTTTGCAAGTTGGTAAATATTCTCTATCGAAAGTAATCGCATACAGTTTATAATTTTTAAAAACAAACGTGATTAGCAAATTTTTGCAAAGCGATCAAAATGTTTGTCTTTTATTGTATAAGAACATGCTTTTGGTGGAAGGTATTTTTAAGGTTTTGACGAACATGAAAGTGTAGTGAACATATTTGGAACTTCACGGTAATAAACTTCAGCCTAAAGTAACTTGTTACATACTTCACATTGGCTTCCTTGATAAGAGTTTTTTTTTCTACAAATAACAATGTTGAAGAAGTTGTAAGCACAAGCCAGGCAAACAAGTTAAATCGAAAAGAAAAGAACAAATAAACCAAAACATTGGAATAAAGATAAATACTAAAATCTTCATCGAAAAAATATTTTTCAGTGGTCATGTAGCTACATGTAACTGCTTTATGAAAATGTATACAGACATCACATTTTCCCCAAAACAAGCAAACGTCACTAATAATAGTATTACCTTTTAGAGACACATGTGCCTGATTTAGTTAGTTTTTCTTTCTTGGTCAGAGGCAAGGCGATATATTTCACGGACAAAAAACGAAATGTAACGAAAACTGCACGTGTTTACTGTCATATTGCATAAAAAGGTTCACTTAAAGCAACATTTTGATAAGAAAATAAAAAACGAGGGAGCAAACTGCGTGTGATAACTCTCCATATTGTTTTAAAGCTTTAAAAAGAGAGATGAGATACAAAAAGGGCATTAAAAATCATAAGTCATTTAAAACAGACAACACCATGGTCAAAAATAAAAACAAAGAAAAGACACACAACATTAAAAAAGATTACACATTACACAGAAAGATAAAGATTTCACAACACGAGTTCCTCCAAAATTCGGGTGAATTCGGGTGCTCCGGAGGAGTAAACAGTTCCGGCTCAACCTGTTAGGTGGTCATGGCCCCTTCACATTCACGGATTTTTCTTACGATCCCTAACTCGTAGTCAATCGCAAGCATCAGTAAATAACTCGCTGGTATCCGTAAATAACTCGTCTCAACTCGCAGACACTTTTAGGGATCCGTAAAAAGAGAGGCAAATGTTTTGAAATGTCAAAAATCTTCCGACGATTGTCCACGGATTGAGATTGATTTTCCCGTAAATAACTCGTTACAATCTGTAAGTATCGCAATTCGCTCGCAACAACACGTAACCATAAGTAAACTGCTCACAAAATCCTTCAATGACTCGTATCAATGTCTTTTACGATTTGTTACGGTTAGTTTTCGATTTAATTATGGATTATTACGAGTGCTTACGTGTTGTTTACGATTTCATTCGTGTCGTGTTACGATGGCTTCACGGATTCCGTTCTTACTAGCACTGTTCGTATAGTTACGAGTACTTTACAAATAGAGTTGTATACTTTACGTATAGATACGTATACTTTACGTATTGTTTACGATTTGAGTAAAGGTATTAAATCTGCAAAATCGTAAAGACTCGTATCTAACGCGTAACTAAAACGTAGCTATTCGTAACAACACGTTAATAGGTCGTAACTAACACGTAAAAACTTCGATGAATAGTTACATTCCTTGTAAGAAGCAACCATCTGGATCAATATCCCTAACGCGTCTCAAATTGAGGAACACAAAAGTAGTGCGTAAACGAAAAAATCCATGTGAAGTGATATTGGACATGTTTCAATTTTTAACAAATGACCGAGCTTAACCATTTGTGCTGAATTGTAGAGCAGAGGACCATAAAATTAAGTTATTAAATGTATGCAAGGAAGTAAATTTTTGAAGATCTAATTGTGTGAAAAAAGGGATTTTGTCCCTTGAGAAGCCGTATCACACAAGGCCTTTCGGGGTTGCTACATTATGGAAAAGCAAATCTCACTTCGTACCCCGAAAATTTAACAAAATATGTGAAAATGTCTCAGCTTCGAAACGAGCAATCATACATATCCAAGTTTAAGATATGAGCAAATGAATTGAGGAAAAGGCTACCATTACCGCCTACCTGAAATGAATTGCGCATCTGTACCCATCCGTACCCATCTACCAAGAACATCATGATAGGAGACGTAAGTCTGGGTTATGGTATGAACTTGGAGTTATATATTCCATATATAGGCGCTGCTGTTGATAAACATAAATGAAATTCACAATGAGAAAATTTAAAAAACCTCTTTTGTTCTAATGTTAAGTTCTCAACCGACCCTCATTTTATTTTTCTGGATGTAAATTTAGATATGGAAGAGATTTAAATATATATATTTAGTATCATTTATGTCGATTCAGTCAGCAAACTTTGAATTAGTAAGTGAAAGGACTTGATCTATATAGCGGAAAGTGAAGTTAATAGATAATTCCAGATTCTTTTTCGCGAGAAGGTTCTGCATAAACCTCTGTCCAATTTAGATTAAGGAAACAATAGGCAAGCAGAGGGCACAGTTGGTTCCCTTAGAAATACAAATTGCCTGTTGAAAACATGGTCATCAAGACGTTACAAACCTGGTTTCAAATAATAATGCTGCAAGTTTAGAAATTTTAATCTCCCAAAAGATGTGTACATATTTTGCTTCACATTGAAATTGTAAAATACATGCATTTTTTTCCTTGTGATAATAAATATCGTAAATAAAACCACTTTAGAAATAACTTACTTAATAAACGACTATAGCTACCCTATTGATTCCTAGATATCTTTTCTTCAAACATTAAACACCTGATGAAAAAGTGAAAAATTTCAGCGATTTACAGAAGTTTTATACAAAATTTCCACATCATTACTATCATGGAAATGAGAATTATCTAAACAAATAACCTAACACTGCTTACTCTAATTACACAAGCTGTTATCAGTTTTTGTCCAACATTTACAATTTACTGTAACGATATAAAACATAAAAAATATACCTTGTAGGTAGTATTTTACTGATAGTAATTGATGACAGGGAGGTGTTTTACGCTACTATTGATTCAGATAATCAGTGCTCGTTATATTGATCCAGGGACAAATAATGCGACTTCTGTGGTCTCAAGTCATATGACAATCGGAGTTGGATAAACCACTACGCGTAAATCAAACTTTGTTTCGCAACTTTATGTTCACTTCCTGGAGTGTTTGACGCAAGAATACAAGGTAAGATAAGTATCTTTAATTATATTTGATATAATATATTTTATATAGTTTTTGTTACTGTAGATATTGAAGAGCAAATATTATTTAAAAAATAATTAACTTGACTTTTTTAAAACAAGAAACTCTGTTCGTCTTTGCAAGTTTTACTTCATAATTAAAAACATATTTTTTTGAAGATTGCGGGAGAGAGATAATCTGCATGCATTGGCATATTATTGTACGGAACTTTAATAAATGAATATTAAACACGAGCTTGTACCTGAGTATAAGAAATGTAAAATCGTTCTAAGCGCTAGTTTGCTAATATATATTGCAGTAATATATATCATAAAAAGTATAATAAACTGTTATCACTGAGATATGTCTCGCCTTTTTGTGATTTTGATAGTAAAATGCAAATTAAAAATTAAAAAAGCAATACTTTAACATGTACGTTATTCAAAATATTCAAAGTAAGTGAACCATGATTGAAGGTACATGGCCAAACAATCTCCATGGAAATGTGCCAATGCTCATACAACTGCATTCCAAATAATAACCTTCCACTCGTGGTTCCCTATAAACTGGACCTAGTCACACACTAAAACATTGTCGACGCCGGAAACAGCATACCTATTTCTCGCTTTTTGACTCCGTCAAGGCGAGACAAAAAACTTAGATGTGATATGATTGTCAATGAGAGAACTATCAACCAAAGAAAAAAGGACATTCAAGGATGATAACATAGGTCACCGCACAGTTTTTAACAGTGAGAAAAACCCATACCAAAATGTGAAGCTATAAAAGCCCTGCATGGTAAGATAAAATGTGAAACAAATCAAAAGGGAACACTAAAAAGACTGAGTTATGTCAAAAGCGAGAAACTGATTTTTAAAGCTTAAACATTTCACAGCATATGTGCGGTTTAAATTTCAACATTTCGGAGTTCTTGTGTTATTTTTTTAGCCTATGATTGAAACCTAGATTTTAAAAGGATTTGTGTAATCCGTAGAATTCATGAAAGTGAAAACATGTCAAATAAATATACAAAATAGAGCAACAGTTTTTTTATAGGTGTTGCAGTGTAAAATTCAATGTTACAAAAACTACATGTTTATCATGTTGTCGAAATACAGAAAGGCTTGCTCTAACATATGAAGTTTATTTTATTTCGTCATTTCAGTAAACTGTAAATATTGAATTATTGGATGAAACATAATTGCGTAAAAATCTCTAAGGGCACACGATACTGCTACAGAGGGTGGAGGGGGGGGGGAATGACGTTCCTAACGTAAACTATTATTTTTCGAAATACTTTATTTGAATGTGGATTTAATTTGATTTGGGATGATCAAATAATTGCTAAATTTGATAATATTATTAAGAATGCGAAGAAATGTTTGAGTGATAAATTTATGCAGAACTGGGAGTAATAATGTTATGAATTCTGCAAAATGTCTCAATTATAGAATATACAAATCTGATTTTTGTTTTGAGAGACAATTATCAGTGATTACCATCTGATCTAAGAATGTATTTATGTTTATGCCGTTGCCATACTTATAAGTTGCCCATTGAAACTGGCAGATTTTTAAATATTGATAGAACCGAAAGACATTGTAATCTCTAATGCTAATGAACTTTGTGATGAGTTTCATTACTTATTCAAATGTACCTTTTTCAATCGTTGTAAGAGCTACATGTTTAGCCTTTAGATATATGTAATAACCCAAATGTTTTGAAATTTATGAACTGATGAAAACATCAGATTTATTTACACTTACTGGAATTTTGAAAAAGTGTTATTCAAATCTTTTAATACACGTGCTTTATCATGTTACTATAATTTGTACTTCCTGTCACATATCAGTATTCATTATATACTATTATTGCACCTTTGTTTACCATGTTGTTCTAATGTAAATATGTTCGCTCTTTTTATTGTTTATTAAAATATTGAAATAACATACCCTATGTGGGGGCTTTAGTGAAATAAAATGTCTGAATGTTCACAAAAATGTCTAACCGTGACATATCCAGGGGAACCAGACGCATGTTTTGACTGATTTTAACCATCAGCTTGAAAACGAGTACATGTACCCCTTTTCTTAAAAATGAAATTTGGCTTGATTGTGTATTAAGGTTATTTGTACCAATTTGAATGAAGAAATCACCGATGATGTTTTTTTTTTAAATTACATGAATATAAAGCACAAAATGCCTTTTGTATCTAAAATCATTAAAATTTAATAAATTATTATAAACAAAACAAAACAAAACAAAACAACAAAAAAAAAAGAAAAAAAAAAGAAAGTACTAAACAGTGCAGTAACTGTTGAATAAATATAGACATTTGATCTTGGACTTCTTCCATCCAACAGTAAAACCCTAGCTTAAGTTTGGCTATGTGGAATGCATAAATACGCAGACACATCCTGAAGGATCTTTACATTTAGTGTCCCGTTGGAGGAGAACAAAAACAGAGAATACAAATTAAAGACATCATAGCAGTTTTCGTCTGTATCTAGATAATTACATGCTGTGAATAAGTCTAGTAGGAAATAAAATATACGGAGTTTACTCTGTTTCTATTTTGCTATCTCATTGATGTTTAGCTATATATGATAAACATGAAAATCTTTTGAAAAATATCTTTTCCGTGAAATTAGACAAAGGTTTTTCTGGAGGGTTTAACGCTTTTGTTTTACATGTCTTATGACAATGATTAATTTGAAGAAAAACATAACTAGCCGTACGCTACAAAAGCAATTTTAACAAAACATTAAAGCTTTGACTCAGTTTAGGTCAATAAATAGGGGTTTAAGATATGTAAATGTTAAATGTATCATGTAGATATATAATAAAAATAAAAATAAGAATATAATCGATTAATGCTAACTTGTGTTTGGTTAAATCTATGTAATCCAGACCAAGATTCATATGGCACCTTGCAGTCGTCGATAGTAAATGTTTTGAGCTGTTAGGATATTAAATACTTCTAAGCATTGTCACATTTATAGTGAAATATTGCGCTAACGGAGCATTTCATACCGGTTGATTCTTTTGCGATATGTGTCCATTAGGTTCTTTATAACGATAAAATACAATAAACATGTTTATGTTATGGGAAATCTGTTTTTTGAAAAAAATCTTCAATTTGAGAACATTATTTACCATAAATTTGAGAACATTATTTACCATATTGTCCTACATTATTTTTTCATACAAAGGTCAATACATCAACACTAGATTGAATATAGTAAATGGATTCTTTCCGATAATATTCTTCTTTTATAATGTCAGACAGATAGTATCCATGACAATAATGTTTCTTATAGTAGTCTAATGGGGAATGTTAATTAATTTGTTATTTAATGTAATTATTCTTTAAGTGCTATCAAACTAATTGAAGTACATTCATAGTTGGATGTTAAGTGTGATGTAAAGAAATCAAGCATCAGATAATGGCATGACTGGAATAAAGTTGTCAACCTAATGGTAATTCACTGCTCTGCTGAGATTTGAAGATTACATGATAAACCTCTTTACGTCTTAAATGTAAAAAAGGAAATTCTTATTCTGTATAGCTAACACTATATAGTAAATAAGAAGCAATTCAAATCATCAAGAAGATGCATGTAGGACGTTGTTCTTTGTTTATTCCCTCGATGCTCGTTCTGGGTGATCGAACATTCGGTCAACGTTAATAGCATGCCACTTCCATCTTTGGCAAATCAAATTATTGAAGCACGCAATGATTTTAATAAAAGAATCTTTCGTCAGCAAAATATTCCTCTGCAACCATTAAAGAATAGATTTAAGTATAATTAAAACTTTTGTTGATTTGACGGACACTTCAGTGATTGAATCCTTCATAATTTTGAATAAAGTCTACAAATATCCGAGATCACGACATTTTGTTCAATTTTCATTGCTATTATTTGCTCTGAAAAATATTAGTTTTCTTGGACTATAGTGAGGTAATTATTTTCTTGATCTTTAAAATCAGTCACCTACTCTATAACTCAAGCATTGAAGTGAGAACTTTAAAAAATTAAAGGTTTACAAGTTACATGTATTAAGAGTATTGGCAAAACTGTGTAAATTTATGCTAATTTGAAAATATTTGATTGGCGTTTGAGCCATTTTCAATATAACTTTATGATATTTTCATTTAAGAAAAATATTGAAAACAATAAATAATTTCTATCAGATATAGGTTCGACGAGTACACCTCCCTATGTTTGGAATAGGCTGAAGTAACCAATTAGCTGTACTGTGAACGTATATGTGTTCCTTTCACAGAAGTTCCTCAGAAAACTGTTATAAACAATGCTATAATATTATTCTGTTTATGTTGGAACACATTTCCTTTACTCTTTATTCCGTCAGGAACAAATACTGTAATATTTTTACAGTGGGTATAATATTCAAGAATACTTCTTCCCCATGGAACTAATATCATAAAATAACTGCCATTCCATAACTTGAATACTGAATTACTATTTTTTATCACTTGGCCTCCTACGCACTCCGGTTATAGATAAATGGATACGAACTTGATCACAAGATGGACGAAAATTACCTCAATTTCAATTTCATCCTAATTAAAATCATAGGAAAATGAGTGAATAGACATCATCTAAAGTGCTTATTAGCTGTTCGCCATTTAAAACATCATAGCAATCCTGCAAAATTTAAGACCACATGCAAAAGTTCGATGAATGGTATTTAGATCTCGATATGGGCAAGTGCCGCAATACATCAGGTCATGATCGTGTGTTGCAAAATCAAACTTTGGGAGAGGTGCATTACACTTTCAAGTAAATAAATTATTAAAAAAAAAATTATTAAATAAATTTTGTGATTCATTGGATAAAAATCAGCATATTGTTTTTAGAAAGGGGATATTTTCACCACTGATAACTTAAGAATCAATGACTGGGAAATCCAGGGAGGGAGGGGCGCTAGATTGGGTTGGCCTCTTACGCGCTTAAATTCGTTTTTATACCTCTTTCTTT